ATCCCCGCCAGTGGCTGTGCAGTGATGTTGGCCAGTGCCTTCAGTACCCTCGGATGGAGATCATCCGGGCCTGCCAACTTAAAGGCATCCAGATCCTCCAAGTGAATCTGTACTATCTCAGGATCTACACATGGTAGTCTGGCGCCTTGCTGCTGCCTGTCTACAATCCCAGTGAGAGACTTGTCTTGCCCCTCTCTTAGGAACACTGAGGCAAAGAACTCGTTGTGGAGTTCAGCCTTGTCCCCCCTGTCCGTCACCAATTGCTTCTGCCCATTTAGTAGGGGTCCTATTCCTCCCTGGGCCTTCCTTTTACTCCCTATATATCTAAAAAACAATTTTTTGTTATCCTTTACTTGGGATGCCATCCTCATCCATGGTAGCTTTGGCCCATCTAACTGCCTCCCTACAAGCGCGATCAGAGGAGGTATAATCCTCTTTGGTAATCTCTCCCTGTTTCCACTTTTTATGTGCCCCCCTTTTGGTCCGTAGGCTGCCCTGGATTTCTCTGGTCAGCCAAGTAAGCCTCAGTTCATCAGCTATCAGTTCAGTCACTGCTCTGCACAATCCTGCCCTGGCTTACTCATGAGCATTCACAGTCCCAATGGGATTTCTCCCATGTGCAGTGAGGCTCTAACCTGGAACAGCAATTCTTCTGGCCTTTTCCCCAGATCCTCAGGTGTCACTCCACTCCAGGGATGATTAGTAGCCTTGTGTGTGCAGGCCTTCGCCTGCCTCCTTCTCAGGGTCACACCCCCAGGGTTCCTCTAGCAAGTTTCACAACACTTGCCTGCCAGGATGCTCAGCCACTCCTCTCTCTGGCTTGCAGGGAATTTACCCCTCTCTGACCCCACTCTGCCTGAAATATCTTGGAGCAGCTTCCTTCCTCCAATCTGGAGTGAGATGCTACTCTGGAAGTGTGATAATTGCTTCTCTTCCCTTCCAGTCTCCAGCTGCAGTGCCACCAGCCCTCCATGTTGTAAGTATTGCTTGCTTTCACCTTCTCTGTCTGTTACTGCTGGCTGCTTTTCTTCTCCTGACCTCCCCTGCCCAGCATGTAAGGCAACTCGGAGCTTTTGTTTGCTTTCTCTCACTCCTTCATGCTCCTCATCTCACAAATACATATAAGAAAACGTCATTAAATGCATTGCTTATCATTAAACTGCTGCCAAAAGCAGCATGTACTCAGTAATGGAAACTGAGTATGAATTTGATTAAACGTAGCCAACACTCAGCATGACTTCAAAACACATGGCCCATGTGCTGACAGGAACCTACCACAAGAATAGGTTGGTACAACCCATCTGAATAAAATACATGGTAGCATCCATTAAGCACAGTCCACCTCAGTGTTGAATCTTTTTTCAAGTCAAGGTGAGCTACTACAATGAATACATTTTTACTTCCCCTTTTGCTCCCACAGTTGATCTGTGTCTTTCTTTCCCATTTCCAATGATTTCTGTTTCTACATCAGCTTTAAATGCCTGGCAAACATTACCAAATAGGCCCCCAAAGAATTCACCAAGAATCCCTCTGTTGCCTCCTCTCTCAGGCTGTTATATGCAATTAGTGTGGCCCTGCCCTCTGAGGTGAAGCCAGACCAGGTTGCCTTGTGCCTCATCTGCATACAAAATTCTAGAGGATCCCAGGACTTGTGACAGGAACACCCAATTGTAGTCATGAGTGGGGGGCTGATTAGCACATGGATCCTTTGTAGGGGAGGGGGATATCTGGAGAACACATATGCTGAGCTGTGGGTCACCATGGCCTGAAATGATGTTGACTCTGCTGGGACCCAACCCAGTGAACTATATGGTAAAACATAACCCTTTTGGCTTTGGATTAATGACATGCATATTTGTATTGTATATAAGTAGATGCCAAAGTGCTACTTAAAAGTGTGTTTATGGAGTGCTAAAACTTGCAGCAGTTTCAAAAACACTGAAATACATTAATTCTGGATGAACTAAATCTATGCGTATTTTCTGTAAATGACTACAGCTGTGTATATTTCAAGGTCTTTTCTTTTTTTTTTAATTTGCTCCTCATTTTCTTATGCTCAGGGAGAGCGTGTGTGGGGGCGGGGGGGGGGGGGGGGGGGGAAGAAGGAGCAGAGGGTAAAGGGGCTACCTAATCCCACAGATTTTTTTTCTCCTGCTGTAGCAGTGGGAAGGGAGCAAATTCCAGACAAACCTCCAATAATTAGATTCTATACCTGGAAGATTATATCAAATTTATAATTTTTTCATATATAGAATCTCATTATTGGGGGTAATCATAATCAGGGTCATCTTATATTTGAGTAAATAAGGTCATTTCTTACTGGAAACTTGGTTTTACTTTTTTCATTTGGTAAAAGTGACAGCAGGCACTCCATCAGAACCAAAAACAGCATGAAAAAATATTTCAGAACCAATTCCAACTCTCATTACAATTATTTAAGATGCTGATTCTCAACCAGGGTACCATAGCACCATGGGTTGCCTTAAGATCTTTTTAAAGATGCTTCAGGGTGCCATGAAATGTTAGCACAGTTTGGTGTGCAGACCTGATTCACGAGGTAAATTCAGATATTTCAAATAGGAATCCACTGTACAGCATTGAAAAGATTCTGACCTGTTGTGGTCTTCCTGAGTTCTTTGCAACAAATGAATTGCTCTATTATATTTCTACAGTCAAAAATGAGTGAAAACTAAAAATGAGCATTTTGCAAGGGGTGCCTTGAGTCCAAAAAGGTTCAGAAATACTGATTTAAGAACTAAAGTACCCCCTGTATGCCTGTAGTTAAAGTTGTTTTTCTGTTCCATTGATCTCACCTTTCCCTATCAACAGTTTCACAATGTTAACCTTGTCATGGACTTGCTGACAGATGAAGGAGTTCTAAATGTTCCTCTCAACCCTGAAGGTGAGTGATAACAAAGATCTTGTTCTGGAAGAGAAATGGCAATTCATTAAATCAATTGCAAAAGCTTCTTCAACATGACACTCATACACTATACAATATTTCCTTTTCTGCACATTGCCTCACTTGCAGTTGATATTAAGAATGTCACATTTTGTTTAACTTTCTTCCTGTCTACACTAGCAACAGTTCTCCTGATGTAATACCTCCTGGTTATTAAGCTGACACTTTTTAAAACCAGACTGAAATGATCTAAAATACATTAGTCATTGTTAAAATTACATTTAGGAACAGAGCCAGGTGGGAAACAATTTTTCTGTCTCTCAAAAAAATTTGATATTTGAATTTGCTGTTTGTATGTGCATGTGTGTACATGGTCGTGCATGTTCTGTGTTGGGCTAATAACCTTCTAAATGCCTTGAGGGTTTCATGAAGAATCAGGGAGAGACCCACCCTGAAACAGCCAAAAGCTCAATGAGTGGTGCAGTCATGCGGGCTGTGGACCATGCTTGATTCAGTGCTGAGATACTGCAATAAGTTTCCCATGGCTCTCGTAACCTCCAGTATTGGATGTTCTCAACTGGTCTCTCTTCCTGTCATTTTGACTGGTATATTTGTTCCCTGAAGGGTCCAGTTTGGAAAAAAATCAATATTTTTGATGAAAAAACATGTAAAAATTCCAACCACATTTACTTGGTAATAAGAGTATCTGTTGTGGGGCCCTGTTTCCAGAATCATGACATGAATGGATTAATAGATTTTTAAAGCCAGGAGGGACTACGAGGGTAATCTTTCTTGACATCTTGCATAACATGGACCATCTAATTTTAGCTAATCATATCAGCATAAAGCACAATAACTAGTTGATGAACTGGAGCGTGCCTATTAGAAAGACATCAGGTCTTCATTTAAAGATGTAAAGTTTTTGGCATTTCATGTTTTCCCTTAGTACACAGTTCCAGTGTTTAAAAAAATGGCATTTTTCTAGTTGGATGGTTCATTCACAGACGGCCATTATGTGGTGGGTGTGGGTGTGGGTGTGGGCATGCATACCCAAATGAAAATACAGACAAGCATGTACACATCTCTCACATGAGGGTCTTCCATTTGTAAATGCATTTGTTGGATTTAATTTAAATTAAGACTGGGTAGCAGTATCTTGTACCCTTCCAGAATGTGGGAGCTGAGAATTGCAACGTTCAAAAACCAAAAAAAAAATAAAGTGCAAACATTTGAAAAACAGGGAATAAAGAGTTAATGTAATACCTGCTATCACTCATAACATGGTACACTCATAATAAAACTATAGGTGTAAAGTCCTATTAAATTTCTAGTGTCTTTTCTGCCAGTGTAGAGTTATTTTTTACTATATATTATATGACCTTTCTCCAGTGACGTGTCTCTAATTGATTTCAGAAATCATGAAAACCTGAAAATCCTATGGTTCCTCTTTTGCTTCTCACTCAATTACTTTCTCTAAATTTACTTTATAATTTGAGAACAGTGGAAGATGGTGTTCATTGCTTTGACAGTTGGCATCTATCTATTTCAAGGATTTCTAATGTTTCCAATCTGGTTTGTTACTTTCCTATGTATCCACAGATATCATGTGCAGAGATGTGAAGACCATACTGAAGATTTTATATTGCTTATATTCCAAATACAAGACCAAAAAACGTGAAGACTGAAAGCAAGACATAGATTTTCCTCCTGGTGCATTATAGGATCAATTTTTTTGTTTCGTTGTGTTTGCCACTTTGCATGTATATCCACCTGTGCTTGATTTGCCTGCAAACATGTGTTTAATGAAACATGTATGAGTGGAAAGTTGCACTTATATAACTTGGGCTGCCAGCAATAAAAATAGGCACGGTAGATTTTGATTTTGATTTTTTTAAAATAATTTTGAAATAAATGCTTAAAAATAAAAATTAATAGTATCCATTGATTTTTATCAATTTAAGTAGTTAAATTAACAATATAAAGATCTTCTGCCCCTGGGATGGCAAAAAACCCAAGAACCCTAAAAACAAAAAAGACATTGGCAAGGCCAAGACAACACCAAAACCTGCATCTTTTTAAATTGGAGTCTTTCTCTCCACATACCAATCTCACCAGTAGGCTGCTTTGCTTCTTTTTACAGTCTCTCCATTCTCGGCAGCTGAGTTAGAATCATAGAATCGATGAACCAGAAGGGACCTGTAAGATCATCAGGTCTGGTCCCCTGTCATGGGCAGGAGGTTACTGGGCTCAAATGAGCTCAACAAGGTGCTTATCCAGTCTCACCTCCAAGGATGCCAACTGCACCACCTCTGCTGTGCTCCAGATTCTGGTAACCCTTATGGAGAAAAAAGTTGGGTTTTTTGTTTTTTTTTTTATGTCCAGCCTAAATTTTCCCTCTTTTAGCTTGTGCCCATTGGTGCTCATCCTTCCGAGGTGCTTACCTGAAGAGTTGCTCCCCTGGATCTTGTTGCTCGCCCCTTACGTATGTATAGGCAGCTATCAAGTCACCTATCAGTCTTCTCTTACTCGGACTGAACAGGCCTAGTTCCAAGAGTCTCTCCTTAATGGACCTATCCTCCAGGCCCCTGATCATATGGGCGGCCATTCGTCCTACCCTCTCAAGCCTATCTTCATCCTTTCTGAAGTGTGGTGCCCAGAACTGGACACAGTACTCCAGCTGTGTTGTCCCACTCGGGTATCAGGAACTCCCTGTTGCTGCTTCCCACGGCTTCCTCCACAGCTGCTGCTTCTGTTTCTGCTTCTGCTAGAATCAACTTCCACCCATCCCCCTCCCCCATCTGGTCTTTGAATAGGGGTTTAGGTAGCTTGTCATCGCCCTCCAGCCCATTTTCCAGCACCTTGTAAACAAGCAGCTAATTGATTAATTGACAGGTCATTAGGCTGCCCCCTCTTTTCCTCTTTAAAGAGACTGGCCTGCTATACTCTGGCCTGTGACTCCCTTCTGTTCTTCCCCTCTGTTTTTGATTATTAATAATGGAAGTATTTTTTCATTGGTCTGTGAAAGTGAGGTGAAATCAGCATTTATTGCTGTTTATTGATAAAAATCAATTCCTGCCGAGCCTAAATATAATTTTGTCTGCGTGTATTCAGGGGCCAGTTTATTCAGCAGTACTATGGCTGTGAATTTTACCATAGAATCCATCCCTTGCTCCATCATAGGCTCTGAGGCTGCTCTGAGCAAATGCTCATTCTAGTCCCCCCCTTTTGGCGTCAGAGGGAGCAGGGAGATATTTTCTTGATTTTCTGTCTGTCTTTCTACTAAGCTCACTGCAAAAGCATAGAGGTGGCTGCAGACACTGGGTCTTCCTCTGAAGACTTGAAATGGGTACATAGCCCACCACTGAAAAAAGCCTGTATTTAGGGTCAGTCACAGATGGAAGGAGTGGCTAGTAGGGCTGTGTGAAATTTTGCTGCCCATTTTGTTTTGGCACTGTTTTGAGCCATTTCGACCTCAAAACAGTGAAGTCAAAATGGAACAGGCAGGCTCAAAACAGGGCAGGTCGAAACGTTTTGAACAATTCAAAACATTTTGAGTTTTGACTGGGAAGCTGGGCTATAGGCTTACCTTCAATGGCTTGGCTTGCTTTCCTGCAGGGAAGAGAAAGTAAAGTGAGGGGGGAAGGTGGAAGGGAGGGAGTGCTCTCATTATTGACATGTGTAGCTGGCTGTGGTTCTTCCCTGAGGTCCCTTCCAACCCCAGTGCTCTGGGGGAGGGACAGAAAAACTGCATAAAAGGCAGCATTTTTTAAACTACTCCTGCTTTCTGCTTTAGGGTCACTTACTGAGCTGTATGTTCTAGCAGCTCACCATCAAATCACTACAGCTAGCAGCACTGATTTTCTAAAGGATTCCCTGCTTGCTACCCTAGCACAAGAGATTTCAGAATACCTTTTTCTTGTAAGTGCCTTTATTTTATTATTGTATTCATTGATTTATTCTTTTGAATTTTATACTTTTTTTGGATAGGGTTACTATAGAATTTACTCTGTTTAGGAGTATATATATTTGTTTTTATACGTTCATTCTTTGCACCACACCAAGGCTATTGAGTTTATATACACACACAGATATATTTCTATTGCATTGATAAATCTCATCACTGAAGCATACCTACAGTTTTCAGTTTATATAGGAACGCAAATACATTTATATATTTCTTGAAAAGGAAGATATGAAATACATAATGAAGTGTGATGGAAAGGCAGGTGGCCACACTGGCCAGCCTTCAGGGAGAGGTGGAAGAGGAAGTAGAGGGAGAGCTGTAAGTTCCCGTCCCACCAAATCGAGACACAGCCTCTTTCCTCCAGCTAAAAAGGATGAGGCTGCTACAAGCAGCAAGGAGAGGGGAGCAGTGCCACTGCCTGTGCCCAAGACTGCATCCCCTTCATGCTCAGCAGCCATAACCCAACCCACCTCCTACCCCCACCATGATCACAACCAGAATCAGCAGCACCAGCACAGCAGCCTACTCCACCCCTATGTTACTTCCCATGCTGATCCTTCCAGTGTCAGAAGAAGAGCTGTTGCTGCATCTGGATCTCGGTGCCCTAGCAAGGGAAATTCTGCGGAAGGAGGGGAAATCAGCTGAGTTTGTGCTCGACACCCCTCAAGTTTCCCTTTGAGCCAGGTCTCCTTCCCCAGAAGGCACTTTGGAGAATATTGATGTAGAGGTAGAGGCAAGCGGCTCAGCCAAGTTCGCTTCTCCTCTTGCTGTGCCTCTGCCTGCTGCGGAGGGGGAAAGTGCAGCAGCATCCACAGATTCACCTGCACCCCTAAAGCAAGCAGGTAGTGTGGTCTGGGATCATTTTGAGCTGGCAGATGATCCCATGTACGCTATCTGCCTGCACTGCCAAGCCAAAACCAGCCAGAGCAAGGGAACAAAACACATGAGCACCATGGGGATGCTGATGCATCTCTGCAGGTACTACCCCCTTGCCCTTGCTCCTCAGCCTGCCACCAGTGGGAGTGTACCCAAAGGGAAGTCCCCCTCTTGCTATAAAGCCCCCGTCCCCTCAAAGCGGAGGCAGGCCATGCTGGAACAGTGGGGGAAAGGCAGACAGGAAGGTGGGGGGGTGTTGCAAAGGCAAGTAAGCTCATCCAGAGCATTGGGGAGATGTTTGCTGTCGATGGCCATCCCGTCTCCTTCACTGAGCCACCAGGGTTCAGGTGGCTCATAGCACTTGTGGTCCCATCATACCAAGTGCCTGCACGCACCACCTTCAGTAGGACAGTGGTGCCATCCCTGTATGAAGCATGGACAGAGTACTTAAGGGAAAAGCTGCACAAGGCAAGTCTGCAGGTGGCCTTACACTTCATTTCAGACATCTGGACCAGCTGGGGTGGAGATCATGCATACCTCTCTGTCACAGGGCACTGATGTGACCAGGCAGGCCCTGGTGGGCTCTCCTTCAAGCCTAGGTGATGGATAAGTCCCACACAGCAACAGAGATCATGGAGGCCATGAACTGATTGGTGCAGGGGTGGCTTGCTGGCCAGGGTGAGCTCTCCCACGGGGTCGTGGTCACTGACAATGGGGCCAATATGGTCAAGGTGGTCTGTGATGCCAACTCTGGCATCTACTATGTAGCACACAAGTTGTACCTTGTCAGGGACATTTTGGAGGGGGAGAGTGCTGCTGGTGATGGTGCTACCACTACCAGCAAGCTAATTTAAAAATGCAGGAAGGTAGCAAGCTACTTCCACCGGAAGTAGCCTGTGGGATAAACAAAAAGAGCTGAACATCCCGCGGCACAAAATCATGCAGGATGTGGAGATTCGGTGGAATTCCACATACCTGATGCTCAAGAGGCTGGTGAAGTAACAGAGGGCCATCCATGAGATGGCCTTGCTCAGGGACATTGGGATCAGCGGCCCCCTGAACAAAGCTGAGTGGGATACCATCTCCCAAATCTTGGTGATTCCCAAGCCCTTCCTTGAGGCCACTGAGAGCCTCAGTGCTGCTGATGCTCTCTTTAGCTAGGTGATCCACATAGTGAGGGAACTTCAGAGCCAAATGGAGAGTTTCCAGAGGATCAATGTTCCTGTCGTGCCTGGGGCAGGCCACTGTCACCAGATGTGCAGGCACTGATGAGGCAGCTGAAGGAGGGCATAAGGAAACAGCTTGATCCCTTGCAGTCCGGTACAGTCCATGTGCTGGCCACCATGTGTGACCCAAGGGTGAAGGGCACTGTGTGTGGCAGTCAAATACTGAATCAGTGGACGGAGGTGCTGGTAAAGAAAGTCAGGGAGGCAGAATGGTGGAGGCGGCGGGATGTGGAATAGGGGGATCCACTGTTTCATGCTAGCATGCCATCCATGAGCCAGTCTTGTTCTCCACCACAGGTGCTGCCAATATGGGCTAAGGGCATGGTTTCTATGGTGGGGTCCAAAGCCACCAGACTCCAGCTCATGCCTTGGTGGGTGCCTATCTTGCCAAGGATGGGGAGCCACTGCTGTGTGACCCCTTGGCCTACTGGGCAAGCCACAGCCCCATGTGGCCGGATCTGGCCACTTTGCCCGCAAACACCTGTCCTGTCCACCGACCAGTGTGCTGAGCAAGAGGGTGTTCAGCATCGCTGGGGATGTAGTGACACCCCACCGCCCCTGTTTGGATGCTGGTTTGGTGGAGCAGCTGGTGTTCCTGAAGGTGAACCTCCCGCTGCTAGGGTTCCCCAAGCTCCAGGTGCAGACCGATTGAATGCCACCATCCTTACTCAGTCCACACCTATTTCCTTTTTTTGATTTTCTTTTTAAAAACCAGGTAATGCCCTGCTCTCAGCAGGAGGGGGCACTAACTGCATCACCAGCCATCAAGGGAAGAACACTGAACTCATTCCCCTGCCAGGATGAACTTGGAGGTATGGGATGGGGCTGTGGGGAAGGAGGA